ACACTATCACACCAGTTTTGAATAAAATCTTCTCTGCCTCATTTCTGTTATGCTCTTTTTTTGCCATCAGTTGTCAGCTTATCTTATGCATTCTGTTTTCTGCTCCATTGACTGAGGCCTCTCTGCCACTGTTCCTGGAATCCTAGTACTTTTCTCTCTCTCTAGAATGCCCTGCAGTATTCTCTGTAGAGTTGGATTGGTGGTTGCAAATTTCCCAAGTTCCTCTTCGTCTTGGAAACATCTTGTTTCTCCATTAATTTCTGGAGACAGTTTATTAGGGTATATCAATCTTGAATGGAGGTTTTTTTCTTTCAGGGCTTGGAATATTTCACTCCAGGCTCTTCTTGACTTGATAGTTGTGTCGAGAAGTCTGCCATTATTCTGATGGGCCTTCCTCTACAGGTTATCTGTTTCTTGTCTCTAACAGCTTTTAATATTCTGTTCTTATATTGAATTTGTGGGATCCTGATTATTATATGCCTGGGTGTAGCTCTGTTTTGGCTATAGGTGGCTGGAGTTCTGCATGCTTCATGTATCAGAATATCATTTCCTTTTCCTATGTTTGGGAAGTTTTCCTTAATTGTTTCTGTGAATAACCTTTGTAGTTCCTTTGCACCCCTGCTTCTTCATTCACATTCTTTATTCTCAAGTTATAGATCCTTTTGTCATCTTCTAGCCTTTGTATTGTTACTTGTTTCCTTGTTATTTTTAAAAGTTTTCTCTTTTATACTCCCACATTGCAAAATTGTCCTCCAGTTTGGATAATCTATCCTTAGTTTCTTTTGAGCTGATTTGCCATCTTTCCATAGAGTTTTTAATTTCCTGGTGATCTCTTTGAATCTGCTTCATGTATTCTTTATTTTTTTTTATATTCTTCATCAAATGGTTCTCTCCTTTGTTTGGGTTCCTCCCTTCTTCTGTCTGTGTCTGCTTGAAGGGTGCTTAGTATCTCTTTTATTAATCTTCTTATGTCTTGCTTTATTTGGCTATTTCACTTTGAACTTGTCTATGAGGTCCTGGATATATCTCTTTATGTCCACTGGCACCATGTCTGATATTGCATGTTTGCTGTTCTCATTCTCCTTTGTACTTACCTGTCCTGGGTCAATGTTCTCAGGGGTGGGACCTGGGGACTTTCTGTTGTTGCTTCCTCTTCCCATATTTTTTGCTTCTTCCAGGAGGCCCTAGTTTCTTTCTTTGATGGTTACAATTCTTCTGAAGTGCGCTGGCTAGATGACCCTTCACATTGCCATGTGCTAGTGAGTTGCAGCCAGGCACAGCGTATGCTGGCCCCTCTGCTCAGGATCAGTAGCTGCTGTGGCCTGCACTGTATTTGTTTGCACCACCTCCCTTCCGGATCAGTCAAACTTCTGAGGCTTCACTGGGTTAGTGTGGTTAGTGTGTGCCACTGCTGTAGGGAATTGATTTTGGATAACCTATTGGATCTCAGCCAGGTCACATGACTCAGGCCTAGCTCACTTCACCAATCCCATTTGGGAAGGGAATAACTGACTGAAGTCACTGCTGCCCTTTTTACTTGCCAGTCCTGCCGTGTCCCAGAATGTCTGTCCACCAAGCCCCCTTTTCTGTGGAATGGCTCCACTCCTTTCACTCACCACAGGTCAATGCAGGCTCCCCACCAGCTCAGCTCTCTGTTCGGCTCACTGCCCCCCGAACTCAATGTAACTGCACCTTGGATGGCTTGGCAAGTCACAGTGGGACCTCAGCAAGTCACGGTGGGACCTCAGCAAGTCATGGTGGGACCTCAGCAAGTCACGGTGGGACCTCAGATGGTTGGCAAATCATCTTAATTTCTTCTTAGGATGAGAGAATTCATCTCCCTCTGTTTGGGGCTCCCCACTTTGTATTATGTTGAATTCTAAGTTGACTATCTCAGGGAGCTTCTGTAGCCAGTTATCTATCCACCATCTTTGCTCCTCCTTTAATATTTATCTTTTCAAAAAGCCAACTCATTTCACTGACCTTTTGTACTGTTGTGTGGGTTCTATTTGACTTATTTCTTCTCTTATCTTTATATTTCTTACATTCTCCTTGAGATGAAGTGAGGTTGTTTACCTGAAATCTTTCTATTTTTAAAAATGTAGGTGTTTATTACTATATAAACTTCCTTTGCAGTACTGTTTTTGGTGTACCTTATACATTTTGATATGTTGTATTTCTATTAGCATTTGCATCAAGACATTGTAAAATTTCCTCTTTGATCTCTTCAATAACACATCATTCATTCAGCAGCAAGCTGTCAAGTCTTTCTGTATTTGTATAATTTCTAAAATTTCTTTTGTTGATTTTATTCCAGTGTGGTCAGAAAAAGTATATTACATGATTTAGATTTTTAAAAATTTGTTGAGACTTGTTTTGTGGTCCAGATGAAAATAATATATTTTATTCAGTGGTTGGATGAATTGGTCTTTAAATGTCTGCTAGGTTCATCTGATCTATAGTATAGTTTAAGGTGTGTTTGTTGATTTGGGTGGGGGGATAGGAGGGTTGGGTGATCTATTGATAAAAATGGAGTGGTAAAATCTCCCACTGTTATATTGGATCCTCTGTCTCTGTAGATCTAATCATGTTTGTTTTATAAAATTGGTTACTTTAGTATTTGTTGTACTTACATTTAAAATTATGTCTTCTTGAATTCTTGCCTTTATCATTATTGATATTGTTCATTTTTAAAATTTTTGGTCTTAAGTCTATTTTGTGTGATAGAAGAACGGATATAGACATTCCTACTCAAGGAATATCTTTTGGTTTTCAGTCTGTGTGTATCTTTATTTATGTCACTGAGTTTTTTTAAAAGAAGCCTTCCCTATCTTTTGGAGGAGTTATTAACACATCTTAATTCTTTTATTCACTCCTTTAAAATTTCTTTCCATCATGTGTTATAGGTTTTTGTTGTTGTTTGTTTTGGTACTGGGAATTGAACTCATGTCCTTGCACTTGCCAAGCAGGTGCTTATGCTACTGAACTAAATCCTTGAGCCCTTCTTATAGTTTTTGATGTACATGCCTTGTAGTTGTCTTGTTGACTTTATTCCTAAGTATTTTTGATGCTATTATAAATGGGATTGTTTTTCTTTTGTACTGCTCATGGTTAGGGTATAGAAACAAATAAGTGTTTGCGGATTGCATGCTGATCGTGTGTCTTAAAATTCTGCTTTATTCGTTTATTATCTCTGATTGTTGATGCGGTTCTGTTTTGTTTTGCATTTGGTGTGTGTGTCTGTATGCATGTCTCTGTGTGTCTGTGTGTATTACCCAGGCTGTTCGATGCATAAGATCATGTCACTGGCAAAGACAGAGAGATTTATTTTTTCCTTTCTAATGTTTATGTATTTTATTTCTTCTGCTTGTTTTAAATTCCACAACTAGAATATACAAAGTGTGGAATAAAAATGGCAAGTACAAACATTTTTGTCTCATTCTTTATCTTAGAAGAAATGATCTACTCTTTCACTGTAGAGTATGATGTTAGTTATAGAATTTTCACAGATGACTTTCACTTCATTGAAGGATTTCCCTTCTGTTCCTAGAAGTCTTTTTAAATTCTCCCATTCAACTCACTGCTGAGGGATGAGCAATGCGTCGAAGATGTCAAAGTGTTTCTGTGTATGGCATGACTATTTCCTGCTTGTTTTCTAACTGACCGCAGTTTGCGACCAGCTTCTGATAGCAGTAGCGAAGGTTCCTGGGCACTTTTGAGTTCGAACATCTTCTTTGTGGAAGCTACAAATATGGTAAAACCACAGCGTGTGATTTCCCTCCTCTCAGGTTTGCAGCAAGGACAAAGTCAAATAAGTCATTTTGAGAAAGAAAAGCTGCTCAAGTCCCAAGAGTGCCAGCTGGACCGGCCACCGCAGCCCTGGAGTCAGCACATCCTGCATGGAATTCCAGGAATAAAATGTAAGGAATCGCAGGCCAGACTCCAGTCAGCGTGAAAATTAAACAATGTGATCCTAATTAAGTGGAAAATGAACACAGATTGCAGCAGTAGGGGCATCATTGCTTGCAGCTCCAGTTAAAATTTCAGTTCCTACACAAGGAGGCCACAGAACTGCTGCTCTCTTCCCTGTGCTACTGGCCTGAAGCATTTTGCCCTGACCTCAGGAAAGGAACCTCTCTGTGGTTCTTGTTTTTCATCCATCTCTTTCCTTTTCTCTCACCACACATGTATCCCTGCTTCCTCTCCAGGTGGAAGGAGAATCACAACATGGCAGAGTTGAAGAGATCTGACTCCATCTCCACTCCAAACTTAACTGTGTACTTAAATCACCCTTAACCTAAACCTTATCTTTACCCTGACCCTAACAGCTGTCCATTACTACCTGAATCCCCACATTCACCAAAGCCTTAACTCTGACCTGGTGCAACAGACTTCCGGAAACAACCTCTTCTCTCAGCAACTCCAAGAATGGCAGAGCTTTATGGTTGTCTCTGCCACATCCCTGAATGTCCTTCTTTCTTTTGTTTCTCCTCCTTCCTCACCACATCCCCAGATAGCCATGGCTGCTGAGACCCTCCCTAGATAGAAACTAAATCACATCTCTTCCTGTTTTTTTCCCGAGGTACTGACTGAATCAGTGATGAAAGATTAACCAGAGTGCTCTGATTTTGTGATGGTAGAAGAGGACTTGTGTAATGTGTGTGATGTGTGTGTTAGGGAGATGCTAAATGAAGAGAAGCTCCATAACATCTGGAACCTTTTCACAAGGAAGTAGTAACTTAGAACCTCAAAACAAAGTGGCTCATCTCATGTCTTTGCCTGTGACCTGCCACCTTGGCTCACCTGTGACTTGTTGAAATGGGGCAGGATTGTCATGTGGTGATGTTGCTTGTAAGACCTACTGTTGCTCATTTGCAGCTCACAGCAGGGCCTTCCTTGTGTGGATGGCGGGCCCCACCGTCTCCCCACAGGACTCCGTGGAGGAAGGGGAGTGCTACGTCCTTGGGGAAGTATGCCCATTTCAATCACTCGTTGCCTACCATTTTTACTTCTCGACACGTGGAGCACAACCACTTGCTTCTGAGCAACCTGGGGTCAGTCTGGTTCCTCCCAGCCTAAGGGAAAAGAGAGAAACAGAGGTAGGTGAGGAAATGCTGAGGCACCTGGGGCAGCAAAGCAGTGGAGAAGAGTCGGACAAATGACAGACAATGGTGTCCTTTAAATGAAACAAATATGGGCACTGTGAACTCATCTTCCTTCAGGGTGATTGTTGAGTTTCAGGATTTACTACATTTGGTAGATTCAGCAGGGCTTGATAAGATGCAGTGACCACAGATGAGCTAGTAGTCCTAGGACTGCTGTATACAGTGGCACAGGCATAAGGACAGCTGGCACAGGGGGACAGAGCTGAGGCTGGGTGCCGACATGCAATGGGATCTCTACTTTCCAGCTTGGGTTGAAAAGCACTCATGGCTGAGGAACTGCATTCTCTCATAGGTTACACATCATTCCCACACTGCATGACACCTCCACTGAATGGGCTGGCTGAGGACCACTGAGGGCCTAAGTGCAAGCCTTTATTCCCCTTAATTCTGGCTCAACATCAGCTCTCAAGCCTGGCCTTCTGTTCATCACCAACGCCTGGCTCCTCTGTTCATCCTGAGAGCCCTGCACTGAAATTGCAGTGGAACTGAGGCTGATACACATGTCTTGAGTCCCCCATGGAACAGAGGCTGCCTCAGAATGGGTAGGGAATGAGCTGCGGGGGAGAGTGGAGACTTCGTCTCTTCACTGAAATCACTTTTTGCTTTTCACTTCATCTCTAAAAAAGGGTGGGAGAGAAGACTTCAGGGTGTTTACTCCTGGAACATGAAGGGCTCCCTTGCATTTTGGCAAAAGGTTTGATTAAAAAGGTTTGATTATGAAGCAAATGACAACTTCAGGTTAAAATAACATGTGGAGATTCTCTCTTACCATTTGTAGTGGTTGATTGATTGTGTCAACTTGAGACATTTAGAAGCTTAACTAAATGGGTTTAGCAATTCTGCACCCAAGGATGTAGAAGACCCACGCTAGGCTGGCTCATCACCTGGAGGTATGAAAGAGGAAGAGGAGGATGAATGCATTCCATTCTTGGGAGAAGCTCCAGTCTTCGTCTTTGGTTTGGACCTCATCTCCTGGCTTCCAGCGTAGACTCTTCAGCTTTCGGGCATAGACTCTTCAACCTTTCATGGTAGAGCCTTCAGCCTTCTGTCGCAGACCCATCCGCCTGCTGGTGTGGACTTGCACAAGACACTAGGTTGAACCCCAGACCTTGGATTGAATCCTTCGGCCTCCAGTGTATAGACACCTTCTGCACGCTTTCTCATCCGACTCTGTGGCTGACCATTATAAGCCAATCTTGTTGTTTCTGTATATTTCCTGTTATATCTGTTCTCTCTAGTAAAACCCTGACTAACACACCATTCTTCATGTCTGCTGACATTGAAGTCATGAGAAATGTTCACAGAAAGCATAGAAAATAGGGCCAAGCAAATGACAACTACCATAATAGGTCCACTTCCCATTAACTGGCTTGTTAGCCTGGCAGTAGATGTGTGGCCTGACTCATTTCTGCATTTGTTATAGTGGCATTTGTTATACTGGTTGTTATACTGGTTGCAAGTAGTTTTGTCCTGTGAGAGACATACGGCACTTAGGATTGGGGGCTATTGACAACATGAGATTCTTTTGACAAATATTTAAAATATGCTTCATTTTTACAGGGCATTTAAAAAGAATCAACCCAGTATCACAGTGCTGGGGGTTGGTATGTTACAGTATGAGTATGAATGACTAGATTCATTCATTGAACAAGAGACATTTATTGTGAGGCCAAGGGGAGGATGCTGAGATGGTGTCACAGAGATGAATAAGACAAAGTTTCTGGTCTTAAGGGAGACAAGAGAAGAATACAAATCTGTTCATTTGCCTTTTTTTAAGTTACACTGAGATAAAAAAGATACAGCTACCGACCTCAAGTTGTTCACTGTGCAGTAGTCTGTGTATCAAGAAGTAAAATGGGATTAAAGGCACCAAGAGAGAAATGTTTTCAGATCACAGGGAAACTGAAGGGAGTTGTTGAGCTCACTTGGGAGTGGAGCAGAAGGAAAAGAATCTGATAAACGTTAAAAAAGAACAGGCAGTGGTTAGGTACGTGTGTGTGGGATGAATAAAGAGAATGGAGGGCGTTCCAGGGCAGGAAACACTGCGACAGGGAGAAAAAATAGCTGAGCAATCGGCTGTTGGTAACTAAGGCTAGGGTGGAAGGGTAAGGTTACAGGGCAGTAAAAGTTGGGGAAGAGGGACTAGGGAGAAAGTGCCTGTCTGGATGGACTCCAGTTCAACTGTCTTCTGTGCCTTCCCTGATATCCTGGGATAGTGTTCAATGCAACCCAGGCTTCTCCATTCATCCCTCACATTTTTGAGGTCTGAGACCAAAATGCTTCACTAAAATTACCACTCGAAGTTGTATGCACTAGTTATCATAGAAGCAGCAATATCTCTGGGCTCTTAGAAAGGAGAGAGAGTTTTTTCAATGTGAGGAATCAGGAAGGGGCTGCTAGAAATGGCATTTATACTTGATCCGAAAGCATCAGGAAGACCTGGCTATGGATAGGTTAGGCGTGAGAAAACCTTTGGGTAGATTTTTCTTTTATTAGTGTTACAAAATTAAATCTTTCACTGGACCCAAGCTTCTGTTTCCTTCCTAAGACTTCTACTAGACTCCAGGGATTAGAATCAGAGTTTATTGCAAACCAAACAGCAAATATATTTCTGAGATCTCCAAGGCATATAGCAAGATCTTGCTAAGTAATGATAACTGCAAATGTGACTACAGTGTCCCACAAGTATGACAACTTCCAAACTTTGTGACCTGAAATGTTTTCTATATTGCACTACCTGTCCTTGTTAATTCCTTATCTTTAAGCAATAGTGAAGTCTTACTTTCTGAAAAAACCATCTCCTGCTGCTCCTACCACTTACCAGGTGCTTGCTTCTGACAGCATTAACTTCGCATTTTCTTCTACTCTTACACACACACACACACACACACACACACACACACACACACATGCACACACACACACATATGATTTCTTCTATTCCTCTCTCTCTACACACACACACACACACACACACACACACACACACATTCTTTATCAAACTGATAGTTATATACTACTAACAGCCATGCTCTGTGCAGCACTGGACCAACAAACACTGACCAACAAATATTCAAATGTGCGAATTCATTCAACAAATGTTGATTGAATGACCATTGTAGGGATTTTAAATTAACAGTTATATATATACATATATATGTTTTAAAAGGTCACTGTTAAACTCTACCTTCAGATAAACATTATAGGGTATTAACATTGTGATGCAACAAGCCGATTCTTTATAAGGTGCTGAGAAGAGCCCAGGCTGAGATCCAAAGGGCTCTATTGCAGACCCAGCTCTACAAGCAACCTGAGTGATACTTGGTCAATACTATAAACTATCTGGCTCCCCTTTTCTTACTGATCGTGTCTGTGGCCAAAAAGACAAAGGCAGACATTCTAATCTTTACATGTGGAGTGAAAACTTATCTTCACTGTGTATTTAGACTACCAGCCAAGTCTTGGGCCCAAAGAGAGCTACTCCCTTTCTCTTTGTTTGGAAGGGAGCCACAGAATGCAGCTGTGACAGGCAAGCCCATGGCTGATGAATATGACTTGAGATTTCATGTTCTGGAGGATTCATTTCCTGTATCCTGTCTAGCTTCTTTCCCAACCCTGGGGAACAGGTATTTTCCTTTTGCACTATTCTCTTTCCCTTCTAAATTTCTATAATCCAGTTTAGTAGCCATAGCAGGAATGGACAATGCGCTGACCAGGTTCACAGCTAAGCCCTTTGTTGTTTTATCTCTGCAGTCAGAGGTGCTGAAACGTTAATGGGGCTCTTGTTTCCTGAGCAGCTGTCCTCAGGACAGTAGATAACACTTGGGACAGGAGAGACAGCGACCTGGTCACTGCACAGGGAGGTGTGATGCAGATTTCCAGCCTTTCCATAGAAGTCAGTCTGCTCTTCATAGTTCATAACTGAAAACACCTTAAGACCGTAACTTCTGAGGCTCATAAGGGCTGGCTCATGGTCTGAGTCCAGGGACTCCTTAAATCCTCGATAAAGAATTCTCTCCTCTTCCTCTCCGCTCCCTTCCCCTCCCTTCTCCTTCTCTCCTCTCCTTTCTTCCTTGCCCCTTGACTCCTATCTCCTTCCCTCTCTTCTCTCTCACCTGTTCACATAACAAAAACTGAAAATGTAAGCACCAGATGGTGATTTTAAAAATAGATATCATCAGCTTGATTTGTGGAGCACTAACAAATTTGCCTCTGTTTTTGCCCTTTAACATTTCAATTTCTTTACTCCCTTTAACCCTGCCTTACCTGAAAGGGAATTCACAGACTGGCTGGTTTAACTCTTTCAGTTAATTCAATGAGGGAAGTGCAAACCAGAAAGGTTAAGAGATCTGTCCAATAGCACATCCAGTTAGTTTCAGCTGGCTGGAAAGTCTTTTGGATAAAGGATTAAGGACAGACTTCAAGGAAAATGTGACTCTTGGATTCCTTTTAAAGTTATCAAAGAATCAACAACTGGGATCCCGTTTTATTAAAAACTTTTTGCACATCGAAAGAAATCACAAACAGTGAAAATAAAACCCACAGATTGGGAAAAGATTTTTGCCAACTGTCTCTCAGACAGAGGCCTTTTATCTAGAATATATAAAGAACTGAAAAAAAATCAAGCCCCCAAACTCAAAGACTCAAATCAAAAAAGGGCAACTGAGTTTAATACACACTTCTTAGATCGAGAAATACAAATGGCAAATAAGTATATGAAAAAATGTTCAACATCATTGGTCATTCAAGAAATGCAAATGAAAACTGAGATATCATCTCACTCCAGAAAGAATGGCTAACATCAAGAAATCAACTAATAACAAACGTTGGCAGGGCACTTCTCCACTGTTGGTGGGAGTGTAGACTGGAACAACCACTGTGGAAGTCAATATGCAGATTCCTCCAAAAACTAGGATTAGAGGTTCCAGCTATTCCCATTCTAGGTGTTTTCCTGGAAGAACTGAAAACATCACGCCACAATGATATATGTTCACCCATGTTTATAGCTGCACAATTTGCAATAGCCAGATCTTGGAAACAACCCAAATGCCCATCAAAGAAGAAATGGATAAAATAGATGTGGTGTTTTTATACAATGGAGTACTACCTAGTCATAAAAAATGATAAACGCAGGACTTTTGAAGGTAAATGGATGCAACTAGGAACCATACTCATAAATGAAATAAATCAGAGTTGTATGTGTAAACACAATATTGTCTCACTAGTGTAAAAAGCTGAAAGAGTAAATAAGATCCAAAAGATACAATAGATAGAAGGGAAAGGAACTGCTCAAAGGGAAATTATAGTTTAATCAAACTTGCATGTCTATATCTGGTAGCATGAGCATTACAACCATTGTTGCAACATAACAACCATTGTTAAATTCCTATCATTTTGTTTTCAAATACTGAATCACCATTTTTGTGTTGTTGACGTCATCATTTTACTTTTGTTATTGTTTTTGGTTTGTTTGCTTCTTGATTTTTGCTTTTTTCTCTTTAGAATAAAAATATCCTTATGAAAGTATAATTGCTCCTTTTGCCTTAGAGTCCAAAAGTTAGTAGTAGTTAGAATTATTTTCAATATTTAAAACAATGATTACAGCTTTTCCTTCTGCCTGAAAATACAGGCATTTGTATGAAAGAATTGAGCCAAGAAAAGTTACAACATTGCTGTTACTATGCACTAGGAAAAATATGAAACGATCTCAAAATAGTAGACATCTGTGGACTTATTAAACTTAGTTTTTACTCTCATCACTATTTCAGGTCAGTGGTGTTCATTATTCTCTTTTAAAACTGTACTTACAGTTGTAAGTGTTTGATCAATATAAAGAGGGAAAGGACAGGAGTCTCTGAGGTAGCTTCCTTTCAAGCTTTAGGGTCAATGACAGAGAAATAAGAAAAACACCAGGAAACAGGAAGTCCCCATCCCGCACCTTTTCCCAGCAGCACCGCAGCTACTGTGCAAATCTTTCAGCCTAGGCTTTTTGCCGTAGGTCTGCTGTAAGCAAAGTGTTCTCATCTTTACTCCGCCTCATTAAACTGGAACAACAAGCACAGACCTGGAACAGCTCTGACTCGTTCACACCCAGCCCCAGCAGGGGGCAAAGGAGTTTCAGGTCTCCAGGGCCAGCTGCACACTTCCACCGCTGCCTCGCTGTGGAGGGTGAGTCACAATTACCTAAGGATTGTGATACACTGTCCTATCTTAAGGCATCTTGGGAAGTCACGGGTTGATGCATGGAGATGGCATGTGAACATGGGACTCACTGAAAAAGTCCCTGTCAGGCAAATGACAACACTTGAAGACTTCGTTTTTTGTGGGCTTCATCCAAACCTTTTCTTCTTTGTGATCTGAGCTTTCTTTGTTTCTTTCTTGTGTCCCACTTGCTGTCTGTTTCTTCTCTGTCTGTCCCATAGAGAAGGCTGCTCTAGGCACACGTGCTCGTGTGCCAGGGAAGAAAGCCACCTGGAATGTGTGTGTTCCAAGTTCTGCCCTTTGCCCCGTGACAGTGAAGGGGAAGGGAGCCAGGTGGCAGGACCTTTGTGCTGTACACAGGTCCCAGGGCCCCAGGGCCCCTGTCCTCTTGGCAGTTCCCTGATTTAGAGCATGACGGGAGAGATAGAGTGTCCCCAGTGCATTCCACTACTGTGAGGCACAACATAGCTTCTTTCTGGAAAGGAGCAGCTGCTGGCTGAGTTTTCCGCACAGCACACACGTGCCAGGCTTTGTGTTCACAACAGACTCTGGGGGTCAGATTCAGATTTAAGGGGGTTTTTGTGACAGGAAAGAACCAGTCCTAAAGTACCTGCTTGCTGCCCCAACAGAACCATGATCCCGGGTTTCCTACCAGCCTTTCCAATCTGCAAGGACAGGTCTTCCTCATACACAAACCAGAGGAGGGTCAGTCCCCATAGGATGACAGTGGGGGCCGGGGTTGGGGGGAGGTGACTCATGTTTTCTCCCGGCAGGAACAATGCATCTATAACAAGCAGCTTATTGGTAAAACAGCTGTTGCTCTTGACTGTTATCTAGTGGCCATCCATGAATATTACAATCATAAAATACATAAAATAGTGGTGGTGACCTTATAGCATGCGTGCTATTTGTTTTTCCTTTTAAGACAAAAGAGATTAATGTGTGAGCTGTTTTCTCCAAACTAAAGCTTCAGTATTCAGCTTTAATTGCAGTGTTGATACTTTGCGATAAATACATGAGTCTTGGATTGCAGTTTGGGCACTCATCTCTAAAACATTTGCCATCACTGAGAGCAAGACCTCTCTTTTCCCCCTGGTCATTATTAACGCTTTCTCCCCTCACCCCCTCCCGCAGCCAACTTGGTATCTGGTGTCTTAGTGCCTTGGTTTCTGCATGCAGACCTGGAGCAAACATGGGGCAAGCCTCCATGTTTGGCATGGATGTAGTTGGCAGCTTGTCTAAACAGGAAGTCTAAAGACCAACTGTGAGGCTTGTTGCTGGTTTGCAGCAATGCCAACCTGGTCCTTCCTGCTCAGTGTCCCCCCCACCAGGACCATGTCATGGCAACCACTATTACCTATTTGCTTGCCCAAGGTGTTGTGGATTAATACATGATCTTTAAGCCCAACTTGGACTCTAACACTCAAGCATTGACAACCCAGGGCATCATCTAGTACTGCTGGCTTTTGGGGGCCTCTGAATCTTTCCCTTAGTCCATCCCTGCTCATCCATCCCCAACCTGGGACCTTTCCTTGCACCTTCTGTTACAAATACTTTGTTCCTCTCTCTGACGCTCCTGAAGTCATCTTGTGTCTGTGCCATCTGCCCCTCATTTGTGTAGGCTGAGGGTGAATTACTCACCTTGGTTTTGTATTAAAGCAAACAGAAAGGGCCAGTGAGCATCGCTGGACTGGCTTCAGGGCCCCAATGCACATTTACTGAACTCGGGCTGGGGATTTGGCTCAGTGGCACAGCGCCTGCCTGGCAGGTGCAAGGTCCTGAGTTCAAATCCCAGTACAAAAAAAAATTCACTGAACTCCTCGTGCACATTTGGCCAAGTGCTGAGACAATGCTGTATTGAGCACTCTCTAAACAGTCCACTGAGGACCCTGGCATTTTCCAGGCGCAAGGACAGGTTCTATTTTAAGTGTTGCCACCTCCCTGCAACCTGGGGAGGTGCTGTGCTGCCTGCACAAACACCATCAGGGCCTTAGAAGCTTTGGTGCACACAGTGAGCCACTGAGCTTTACCCCTCACCCATCAGCCCACTGCAGCTGGTTTCTGTGGGAGGGAAAGAATTTTAGGTGGAAAATTCCACAGGTGTAGGGATATGTGAGAGGGAGACATAAGTCACTGATGGGAAGGAGGTGGTGAGAAACTCTGGAAACAGGAATAATCTAGTTACAGACTGAGAAGCAGTCTCCAAAGAGCTGGGGACCAACTCTTCCATAATTTAATGCTTGGTTTTCTATTTTGACGATCCTAACTTTATACCTTTATTCTTTACTCTATGGACCAAATTCCTAGGCATTTGAGACAGAGTGAGGGGCTGATGCCAATTCAATTTATTCAACAAATTCCTCCTAAACACTGAAAATATATCATGCCCAGGGCTGTGCTAAGAAAAGAGGAACTGCTTTCGCAACCTGTGCCACCCTCAAACCACTGTTAGTTTCATGTCAGTTAAAAAAAGATTGAGTACCTTAGGTGACACATCTGGAACTTCAAAGAATATAGGTGAATTCATACATCTCTTCGATGAACTCAGGAAAGCAGCAGAGGACTGAGATCTAAGTAATCAAAGCGAGAGAAAGTCAGAACCACAGGCCCCCAGTTGCAAAGCCAAGCCCTGGTTAGTTTCAGAGAGAACCCCAGGGACCCTGCTGGAGCAGCCTCCCACTCCAGTTCTGGAGAGCTCAAGCCTTTCATAGGCTCCTAAAAGATAGCTTTGCCCTTCTTATTTACTTCTGTACTTCAGTTTTTGTTTTGGACTAATCAGTGACAGGCCTCGATTGTCAACAGGGTACAAATAAGGAAGGAAAAAAATTCATTCCTAAAAGTAAAAGTTAATGGTGAAACGCACCCCAGGAATCTTTGAGAAGACCTGCACTGATTGACATTTTGATACGTAACTCGCGCTGGTCCCGGCACTTTGCGCCTGCGCACTGAAGCAGCGTTATCTGTTTGCTCCTATGGAACGTCACCTTTCTAATCACTGTTCCTCTCCAGCATTCTCTCCAGTTAACAAGTGACATGAGATTGTACTGGACAGCACGACCCTCTTCACAGGGTGACCTCTGTGTGCCCTGCCCCGCCGTGTCACTGACATTCACTTTATTGCAGTGTAAGTAACCAATGCCTGCAGAGACAGGTGACCACTCCCTGCCTGAGTGTGCAGCACCGTGCATGCTTCTGGCAACCACAAGGAACAGAAACTTGGAAGGCTGAGGGTTTTTCCAAGAACACCTCTCCTTTCTACTGATATTTCATTGTTCTTTGTTCATTGTTCATTTTTCATGTAAAGCAAAAGGCATATGAAAGGAGCTTGGTGTTCATACAGCATTCACTGCTTCCTTTCTCCTCCGCTTCCCTTGAGCCCTGGGCTTCACGAGGAGAGGCGAGTCTTCCTCCAGCTCCTTCAACAGACTCTGTGTTTGACATGGGAATGGGCTGCCTTGACTGTGGCGCTTACATACTGCCCAAGACCTACCACCAGGCCAGGATAGAACTGCTTCAGTGCACAGTCACTTCACAAACACAGGACTCAGTGTGACCTAAAGGGCTTTGGAAGCTGATAATGAGCATGGTTTCAACACAGTCAGGCCAAGCTGGGAGAGTCCTGCTGGGGGAAATGCAGGTATCTCCAAAGCTCCCAGTTGGGGGTACTCTGAACACACACCCATAAGTGTTCCTTTATCTTTCCTAGGCAGTTCTGACAGAGCTGGGCCAAGGGTTTATCCTACTTGCTGTACACTGAGAACTCTCCTCCAAGGTCTCAGAAAAGGATTTTTCCAAAAAGGAATGACCTTTTTGGAAATCTGTGGGACCCACAGATTTGGGCAGAAGAGCAGCCTACAAGCCTTAAGAACCGTCCTTTCCTTCCCAAAGACTCTCCCGTCCTGCCCCAGGAGCTCAGGGCACCTCAGAGGTGTACCCAGTTGGAATTCCATCAGTGGGCTCCATTTTCTCTAATCAGGTGTTGAAACTGAAACAGAAATCAGGAAGCCTTTACTGCTCACCTTAGGTGATTGCTGCTCACTGCCAACATTGTCTTAATTTGTCCAGCTAGAAGGAAATCTACCCCCTTCCTTTCCTGCTGGGGTGCCATATACCTTCGTCTCTGCCACTCCAAGACTTGCCTGTGAAAGAGGACAGGTGCTGGGAATGTCCAGCTGTGTCCTGCGGCTGTCTTTCTCAAACCCTGCCCTGTTCCATGCTCTCCACCTTCTGCCAGTGTAATTAGAGTACATATATAATTAGAGAGTATATATAATTAGAGAACAAGGGGGCTAGAGGCAAGAGAACTGTGCACAAGGATGTTTTGCTCCCGGCTGCAGAAAAATGTCTAACAAGGGTAGTGTGGGATGGCAGGAGGGTCAGCTATTAGATGTCAAACACTAACAGTTTCACATTTAAGAATTCAAGACTTCAGAATGGCAATCCAGCCGATTTTTGGCCTCTGAACTCGCATACCCACAGGCAATGTTGGCCGAGGCAGAGGATAGGCCATGAATCACCTTTGGCCTGGGACTGACCCCCTAGTCAGCGCAGACTCCCTTTGGCTAGCTCTTCTCATGATGCCACCCACTTCCCTGTCATCAGCAAGTGACTTTGTACCCCATGTCCAATTAAAAGATGCTGAACTGATATGATTCATGCTGACTTCAAAAGTATTAACAACTCTTAGTGAGAACTATATTCATGTTTTCATTTCCTAAGCAAACCTCTGTGTCATCTGTTTTAGATATATTCAAAGGTATGTAAGAAAAAAAAGAGCAATGAACAATATGGACTTTGGGCATTTACTCTGAAAATACACAAAACTGTTCACTGAGACTTGGAGATGTGGGGTTTTAAAGCGCAGCAAACAAAACAAAGGTCACTGAAGTGGGAACTTCCAGGGGACCGTGATGAGATGGCTCTGACGGAGAGGCGCATATCCATTGGCAGGAGGGCAAATGGCATTTACCAACAGGAGTTAAGGCTCTTCTGGAGATCTTTCTCGCAAGCTGCCCCATGTTCTGACCCTCTCTAGCCTATTCCATACCTATAAAATTTTCACTGCACCTGCTTCCCCCCTAACCTTCTCTTGGGACTTTATCCTGTTTTTTCCCATTTCACTCTTTCTTTTATTTTCCCAGAGCAGAATGTATCACCATAACAATGGACCATTTCATTAAAAAAAGGAGGGAAATGAGGAAGCCTAGTTATCTCAAGTGGGAGCTGAAATGTCCCTACATACAAATTCCTTCAATTTGGCAAAACAGAAACATGTGTTCTATATTGTTTTGATTAGAAGAGGCAGGACCGATGAGATTGGAGGAGACTGTTCCAAAGCTAAACACAGGGAGCTTTACCGTATAAAGATGGGAAGAAACAGTCTAGACTTCTGATTGTTAGAGTGAAAATTTCAAACTAAATCAGAGGAGAAAAGGATGGGGTGAAGATGGAGGAAGAGGGTTTAGAGAAGGAATGACTAGGGGCAAATTTGTGTTGCTGAGTGGAGAAAGGTTATGGGGAGAGGGGTCTCACTGCCAGCAAAGCTTATATTCAGAGTTCATGTTTGTCTGAGAATTCAGGACATTTGTGTTTTTTTGAGTACTTGATTTTGTTTCTCAACTAATCAAATACACCCCTTTGAAAACTACCTCCTCCTTAAGAAATATCTCATAGGAGACCTTTGTTTGAAAACTTTGTCCTCAGTGGCTGAGCCATTCATTACCTTCTGGGAAGACTGAGCACTAATGGCTTATTCGTGAGGCTGGCCTCACTAAGCCAAGGAACCTTGTCAAATTTTGGAACAGCAGCCTAGGGAGAAATGGAAAGAGGTCATTTTTCAGATTTGATAAAACTTGACCATTGCTATCATTATGATGACTAAAATAAGCTAATAGTAGCCATTAACAATCCACACTTTGCAAAATATTTTTATATTTCACTTGTCTAGTCATTCCATAAAAAAGCCAGGAGCAAAAAAGTGTTGTCTCTATTTTAAAGATGAAGAAAGTACAACTCTGATAATGTAGATTGCCCCAAGTAAATGAGTTTGCCTTTTTTGTTTTTTGTGTCCACTATAGCCTGTGTACCACTATCTCCCTTTGCTTTTTTATTATTTCCATCTGTTACATCCTGTAATGTTTTCATGAATTTAGCTGAATATAGGCAATCTCATGTTCCAAGCTGTGTTCCCACCTCTACCCTAATAAGGAGGCAAAGATGATGAAAGAAAGCTTTGAACCCATAGACAACTGGGTACTACTGATTTCCAGTCATCCACTTCCCAGTTCGACAAATTACCATCTTCCGATGACGTCATCACGGCAAAAGGCTTTGCACCAGAAAGCAAGCTCCTTGAGAGCTGGGGTTTTGTTTTTGTTGTTCCCTGCGGCATCCTGAGCATAGAAGCTGGAGTTAACACCTGTAGGTTCTGGGAGTCTGTCCAAGGAACAAGGGATGCAGAGGAAATCTGTAGCTGAGGGCCCGACTTCATAACAGGAGCTCAACAAAAATGCTGCTTGTGGCTGTCTTCGGTCAGCCCGGCCTCTGCCTTGGTCTTCCGGGTGCTTTTCTCAGCCCTTACGCAGCCCTATCCTTTCTCCTCCTTTTGCTTTTCCCAGGCTAGGATTAGAGTGTGGGGAGCCAAGCATCCAGTAGGGGGCAGCAGCGCACTCGCCGTGCCCTGGGCGCGGAAGGGCTCTCTGGCCGCCAGCGGAGCCGGACCGGAAGTTCTCGCCGCAGCCAGCGCCTGGGTGCCCCGGAATGGGAAGGAGGTGGTGTTGCAGAGCACCCCTGGGGGCTGGCGGGCAGGAGGGTTCTGAGTGGGCGTGTGCTTCCGGGTCTCCTCCTCCTCCTCCTTGGCAGTGCGGGTCTAACTCAGCTTTGGACTTAGGGACTGCAGAAGGCAGGGAGTCGGGAGAGTGGCGTAGCTGCAGGGGACGTGCATCTGTGATCGTCCCCGACCCCGAGGGCCAGCCCTGTGCCCCTGGGAACCCCGCGGCCGCCGGGAGAGCCCGGGCGGGGTCCCCGCTGCGGGAGGAGGCACCGACGGCTTCGGACTTGGGAAGCCAAACCTGTCATATTCTGCATGGGAGAAGTAAGGTCGGACAGTAAAAACTTTTGGTCAGATTTGCTGGTGACACTGGTATTTCTGACTGTGGTTGTCCCTCTGTAGAACAGGGATCATTGTCTTCTCGTAATATTTTTGCTCTTTAAAAGATGGTAAGCTCAGTTAATGTATGAAGAATAGTTTCTTCGAATCCTTGACTTTGGTTAAACCGTACTCATTCATTTACCTATTCAGTTTCTTGTCCTTAAACCGGTGATTTAAAAAAGCAGCTGTCTTTGGAAACTTAATAGAAGCTATGGACTCTGTACCTCTAAGTTTGCATAAGTTGCAGTAGCACATACCTGGGTATGTGCGCCCTGTCATTAAGGCTTTGTGATTCCACTTTGGTTTGAGTCCTTGCCCCACTGTTTAGAACTCTGGTTACTTGTGCCAAGACTATCTGGGCAATTTGAATTAACTGTGGACTAGTTAAGATGGGACTAATTAATACCAACTTGCAAAGCTGTGAAAATTAAATTTTAAAAAATTAAGGCACTTGGCACACATTAGGCAGTTAAGTGATAGCTAACAGTTGCCTGCTCATCAAAGAACGATAATTTTAAAATATGAAATACATAGCCAGGCATGGTGGCTCACACCTGTAATCCCAGCACTCAGGAGGCTGAGGCAGGAGGATCGTTGCAAGTTTGAGAACAACCTGGGCTACAAAGTGAGCTCAAGGCCAGCCTGAGCTGCATAGTGAGAACCTGTCTCAAAAAGACAAAATAAATAAATAAAATTATGAAATACAATTTTAGTGCTCCGAACTGTAAGCTCCACCAAGCATTTTCTTTATTTTGTGAACTGAGTTGGTTTGATTTTTAACTGAATCCTACTGTTGACCTTTTACAGCGTTTATATACTATATTCACAAATTTCTCTTTTTCTAGGAACTTGTGCTGCCTCAGATGACAAATGCATCTACTTGCAAGCCTTGCCTGGGTTGCTGCCCTAGAAAACAAAGGAAGTTCAGTAGAATCCAGCATGAAATTTCTAGAGTCTTGTTTCAAAACTTCATAAAGAACAAGAAATACATGGGCATTTTCCAGGGAGATTGACCTGGCCCAAAGTTGAGAGAAAGCATAAGATAATGTGTGACCAGCCTGTAACTAATACCAAGGAGGTCAAATGGCAGAAGGTGTTGTATAAGCGACAGCCGTTCCCTGATAACTACGTGGACCGTCGGTTTCTGGAGGAGCTCCGCAAAAACATTTATGCCCGGAAATACCAATACTGGGCGGTGGTATTTGAGTCCAGTGTGGTGATACAACAGCTCTGCAGTGTCTGTGTTTTTGTGGTTATCTGGTGGTATATGGACGAGGGTCTTTTGGCCCCTCATTGGCTTTTAGCAACTGGCCTGGCGTCTTCATTAATTGGCTATGTCCTGTTTGATCTCATTGATGGAGGTGAAGGGCGACAGAAGAGTGGGCGGACCCGCTGGGCTGACCTGAAAAGTGCCCTTGTGTTCATCACTTTCACTTACGGTTTTTCACCAGTGCTGAAGACCCTGACAGAGTCTGTCAGCACAGACACCATCTACGCCATGTCAGTTTTTATGCTTCTAGGCCACCTCATCTTCTTTGACTATGGGGCCAATGCTGCCATCGTGTCCAGCACTCTGTCCTTGAACATGGCTATTTTTGCTTCTGTCTGCCTGGCCTCGCGTCTACCCCGGTCCCTGCATGCCTTCATCATGGTCACGTTTGCCATCCAGATTTTTGCCCTGTGGCCCATGTTGCAGAAGAAAATGAAGGCGTGTACTCCCCGCAGCTATGTGGGGGTCACGCTGCTTTTCGCATTCTCAGCCTTTGGAGGGCTGCTGTCCATCAGCGCTGTGGGAGCCATACTCTTTGCCCTCCTGCTGGTTTCCATCTCCTGTCTCTGCCCTTTCTACCTCATTCGCCTGCAGCTTTTTAAGGAAAACATTCATGGGCCTTGGGATGAAGCTGAAATCAAAGAAGACCTGTCCAGGTTCCTCAGCTAATTTTTGGGCCTTCCATTACGTGAGGGCAGGCTGATAGACCGGCATCCTGCCAGCTAATATGCAAAGGCAGAGCTCCATTCTGGAAGTGGGAGGCTGATGTGAGTGAGAGAATGGAGATCACAAGAAAAAACAAAACAGAACAAAAAACAGTGCCAAAAGCCTGTGTGGTGAAAGTGCTTGTCCTTTCTGCTCTTTTGTGGATGGACAAGCTTTCTGGTTTTCTCTAATTAAATTATTACCTCTCTTTAATATTTGCAGCAACAAATGCGACGTGGTTTCTACTTATTAAAAAAATAATATCCATCAAGTTGTCTGGTGATTTTTCTGAACACAGAAGGCAAGGAGTAGAGGTGGAAAAAGTGAAGATAATGAAGAGTGTAAGTGAGGGTGTGCGTGTGTGTGTGAAAGAGATCACTTCAGTGCACTAATTGGTTGCACTGCAAGTAGGCTGTCAAGGAATTTAGGATCAGGTCACAGAAACTAGAATAAACCAAAAGATACACATCAGAGAGAAGGGAGGCTGCCCTATGAAAATGGGTTAGAGACCTCAAAGATGTAACATTGCCTATAAAATTACTAAGGGTGTGTGGAGCACTTGCCTAACATGCGTGAGGCCCTGAAGAGTGAAAGTAAATGTGCTCTGCTCAACAAATAATTTCTAAGGAGAAGATACTAGAAAGTTGAGCAGGCAATTAAAATAAATACAATTAAATACATTTTCTGCATGTAACTCTGTGAAATATAGGCCAGGAATGTGAATGCATTCTAATAAAAATTTAGGAAAACTTGCTAGTAAGCCATAAATGTTACCCCCAAGGCTAGGCAGGGGATATAGCTCAGCAACACAGCACCTGCCTGGCAAGCATGAGGTCGTGAGTTCGATTCCCAGTACCAAAGGAAAAAAAAAAGCTCTGAGCCTATAGGTTTTCTGGGGGCTGATCTGTGGTAGGTGTCATTGGGTTCTTAATGGTGCAAGAATTCAGGCCTAGAAAATGTTTGTTGTCTCCTAGTGTGACCATTGCTGGGGATTACTACTTAAATTCAGTGAACTGGTTAGTCTTTTGGTTTAAATCACACAGAAAGATGCAAGTAGAATATCAATGATTTAGCTTTGCGAGGATTGTGGGGTGGGAGGAGTAACATGGAGAGGTTACAGTGGCACTGTAATTAAATCCCAGCCTCTCAAATACCAGCATCTATGCAGTGTGATTGAAACAATGGTTAAGGCTTAAACATTTAGCAATTATTACAATAGAAGACATTTCCATGAATCTCCTCACATTATCCCCCTTGCTTTAGGCCCAGATCCCATCACTCTTGCCATTCTCTGAGCAGATCTGGAAGTTCTCTTGTGAGTGTCTACTCAAGGCCACCTTGATGCTCTGAACTGATTTAAATCTGGCTATTTCTGTCAAAAACTACAGTGTCTCCTAATCTACCATACTCACTGGATCTCACACTGTGTGACTTCTGACTCCTTCCCCCAAATCAAAATGACCATGAAAGGTAAATGTTTTGAATCCATTCACATGAGGCAGCTATTACAGCTTTACCAAAGACATTTATGAAAGGACTTCCAGGACTGCTTCAGAAAGTGTCAAGAACCTTGGAGTAAGTGTGAACAAGGGGGAATATTTGGAGGGGAGTAAATGGCACTGTGTTCTTACTGACGATGAAGTTTATTCAGTGACCTTTTAGTCCCACCTCATGTAAGCTGCCTACCCTTCTCCCTTTGCACCTTTCATCCCAGCCTTGCTTCTTGCCATCCTAAGTCACAGGGTCGGCTGGAGGGTGGCGATACAAATGAAAGCATGGGGAGCAGGATGGGGAGGCAGCTTTGGCCACTCCAAGGTGTGGCTGTGAGGGTTTGGATCTTAATTGCTTGCCACAAGCCCATGCGTTAAAGGCTTGGTCCCCAGCCTGTGATGTCCCTGGGAGGTGCTGGAATCTTTAAGAGGTGGAGAATCATGGGAGGAAGTTCTGACCCTTGCAAGGACGTTGGGACCTTTCCTGTCTCTGCATCCGGTCTGCCATGAGGAGAGGAAATGCCCCACAAAGCAATCCCCACCATGAAGTTCCGCCTCGCCATAGGTCCAAAGCAATGCAGCCTGGTGATCATAGACTGAAAAGAAATCTTTCCTTCTTTAAATTGATTACCTCAGGTTTTTTGTCCACAGAGGGGTGCAGACTGATGCAGGTGCCAGGGATTGAATTGGGCCAGACAAGACCAGGGAGGGGTGGAGCCACCAGGCTGTAGGTTACTTTATTCTGTGCTGTGATGTAGATGCTTTATGATTTGCTAGATGCCATGTGCTCATGAGTGCAGAAACCCACATGGTTGTGTGGAGACTGCGTTGGCGTCGGTGTTATGCCAGTGCTTATGTCAGTGTTTAAGCTTTTGAGGAAGGCTTTTTGCAGCTGTGAGTTTAAATCTTCACACTGAGCAAATGCGAGGATGCACATGGAACCCTCATTCACATCAAGCTAAAGTCTCAAGGACGAGAAAAAGGCAAGTCAGCAGAGGGCATCAGTTACACAATTATACAGTATTTCAAAACCGTTGAGATCACTGAAATCTGTCTGGAACACAGTGCCACCTAGTGGAAGTTATTGATATTTTCTTTTCCGTGACACTCAAAAAAGTTTTGAAATTTCTCCATACATCCATACATCCAAGAAGCAAATACACATGAGTATTTGAGAAATCACAGTGCCTATGTCTTAGGGCACCTGTCACGTCCCCGGCACTTTATCTTATGTCTCATGCCAATCCTACAAGAGGCGTCACTCCTATTTCACAGTTAAACTGAGGCTCTGTGGGTCAGGAACTTGTTTACCTTGACAGATGAGCTGATGCCTGCTTTTCTGAAGACTGAAATGCATCCAGAGTTGATCGCTGTGTCAGATCCCTCATCAACCTCTTCATCCCTTATTCTCTTCCCTGACATTCGGCAAACTATGCAGTACCTAACTAGGCTTACCTCTACCCATTTTCCGCAATTTATAATTTATGATGTTTGAACTGAGGAGCTTATTCAGTCAACTATTTGCTGAGAATTTTCTATATGACAAATATTGTTCCATATGGTTGTGATAGATCTGAATAAAGATGTTAAAGGTCCTTGACCTAAATAGACCTTACATGCTAGTACTAGAAGACAGATAATAAACAAATGGAATGTAACACTGTGGAGAAAAGATGTGGTATAGTGTTACCTAGAGGGTCGAAGTCTTGGAAAATGTAGTGTTTAAAGACTGAAGAAAGTGAGGGACTAGTTCCGATTCATAGGCAAGAACATTCGAGGCAGAAGAGCACCTACAAAGGCTCAGACAGAAGATGCCCTGACACATCTGTTGGATAACAGGAGAACAGCAGATGAGGTCAGAGAGGTCGTGTGGGAGCTAGATTACATGTGACACTGTAGGCAATTAGGACGACTTTGGCTTTGACTCTGAGATGGGGACCCTTGGAGGACTATGAGACAAAGGAGGGCTGCGATCTGACATACACTGTCATAGACCCAGTCTGGTTAGCACGGGGCAAGAGAGCACGCAGGAAGGACACCAGGAGGCTCCTGAAGTAATCCCAGCAAGAGATCATGGTAGGTTGGAAGAGTGAGAGCAGAGGCAGTGGTGAAAAGACTCTTCCTGTGGATATAATTTGAGCCAGTGGGCTGCTTGAGGTTATTAGATGTAGGATGTGAAAGAGAACAGTTATAAATTAAGATTTTTGGGAATGAGTTTAAAGATAAATCTGCCATCAATTGAATGGGAGCAGAGTGAGTGCAAGTGGAGATTTTTGGGAGGAAGGTCAACAGTTTAGTTTGGGACAGATAAGCTATGAAATGTCTTATAGACAACCAGACTGAGCTGTGAGTAGGGAGTAGGAGAGAGGAGCTTGGGATTTGAGGCTGAAGAAATGGAGATATAAATTTCAGATTTTTTGGCAATATAAATAATACTTAACTGCTATGAGACTGAATGAGTTCACCAAGGAAGTGCATAGCAACGGAGATAAAGCAGATGATCAAGTGTGCCAAAGTACAAAGGTTGGACAGAATAACAAGAGCAAAGATTCTGAGAGCAAACCACTGAAGCAAGAGGAACACAAGGAGAGCTTTGTGTCCTGGAAATCAAGTGAAGAGCATGACTCAAGAGGTGGTCAGCGTGATCAGATCAAGATGTAAATCAAAGGAGACAAGGACCAAGAATTGACAGCTGTGTTTAGTAGGGAGACAGTCATTGGTGTCTCTGGAAAAGCAGGGTTTTGGTGTAGTGTTAGGAATAACAATGTTTGGAGTGGGTTTGAGAGAGAATAGGAATTGGGACAAAGTACAGACAGCTTTCTGGAACTTTCGCTGCGTAAGGAAATCAGGAAACAGGGCAGAAAATAAAGGAGAAAATGAAGAAAAATATAGCATGTTTGCATGCTGATCGGAATGGAATTAGGGGCAGCAATAGTTAATGATGTGTGAAAGAAGAGTTGCTGGGGTAACATTCTGGGGTAACTAAGTGAGGAGATCCAGCACACGTGGAAATGCTGGCCTTGGGCAAATGTAGGGGTAGTTGATTTATGGTAATGAGTGGGAAAGCAGAGGATTTGGATCAGACGTCAAAAGTGGTAGACTAGTTGGAGTCTTTGTTAGTCCTTCTCTGACTCCTTTGTTGGTCCTATTTTCTCAGGGAAATCGAGACAAAGAACCAGGTGAGATCCCTCTAGAGGAGGAATGAGTAGGGGACTAAGGAGATGCTGTGAAATGGCTCAAGATATTGGGACAACAAATGGGCTAGTGGTGCTTCCTGTCATTAACTGCCAGGCAGTACGAAGGGCTCACTTGGGTATGGTGGTAAGGAATTTAGAATGAACCCCATTCACTTATGTGTGTTCAAGGCCACATACAGTTATACAGTGCAAATCACAGTAGATAGAGAAGTTGCCTTTCCTCAGTGCTTTTATCAAGAAGGTCCAAGGGGAAGGGTATACAGGTACACTTACAGTTACTGAGCATGGAATTTAAGTTAGGTATGAAGGGCAGGGTACTGAGGGCCAGAAACAAGTCAATTGATTAGTTTTCCAAGAGGTTAGAGCTACAGAAGAAGTAGGAAACAAAGATAGGAAGTGGAGGTCAGAGAGTGGATAAAGACAAAGTTAAACTATTGGGAATGAGCAGCTGAGATTAGGTGGAGGGAAGACCATTGAAGAATGCAATCCAAGAAAATGAGAGGCAGGAAGGGACAGTTCACATGGAAGCACACAAGGATGATCAAAATATATGCTGAATGTCTAAATTAAAAAAACTATT